AGGCAGTGACTGAACAGATGTTCCCTGGTCCCTCTCCCCAGGCCCACCCATGGTCACACTCCGCTCTGTGCCTGGGAACCCAAAACTGTGGTCAAGACCCCAGGAAAGGACCACCTGGTGGATGGAAGTGGGCAGTGGGAACTCTTGTACTTTACGCTCTGCAGCCCGAGCCCTGTGAGCAATCCCCTTCCCTCCCCATCTACCGCATTTCTGATGCTCTTGACCCTGGCTCTAGGGTGTTCGGGCTGTTTCGCCAAGCCAGCGACCGAGAAGCCGTCTATGCCTGCTTCACCTTCTCCCACTGGCTGGTGTATGCCAACAGCGCTGCCAACCCCATCATCTACAACTTCCTCAGTGGTGAGTGGGCTGGGGAGGCAGAGGGCTTGTGGGCACCTGGCAGCCCCCAGGCTAAACAAATCCCCCAGCCTCAATCCAGGGCCCAAATAACGGATGGGGGGAGGCTATACCTGCTCCCGCCTAGGGATCATGACCCTGCTCTGAGAAACCCCGTTCCCAAGGAAGACTTGGCCCCGACCAGGTGCCCTTGTCTGAATGACAGACAGGCCAAATCCCAACAGTGGCCAAAGAAAGCTGACAAGCACCCAGGATTCAGCTTTGCAGATGATATAGACCAGGGATAAGGGAGGGTCACCAGCAGAGGCAGCGCAGGGCCGGGAAAGGGCTTCCCCATGCCCAGCTAGACACACACTGGCGGAGTGGCCAGACTCTTGGGGACTACCCCTGAGTCACCTGCCTCAGCACCAGCCATCTCCCCTCTGCAAGTCCAGGCACCCCTATACTCCCAGGCCTCCTCTCCCCTCTGTCCCATACTACCCCCAACCATCTCAGGGTGGTAAAGCCTCAGCCCCCCAGACTCAGCTCGGCAGAAGTGTGACTCACCAGGCCTCTGACTTTGGGGCACAGACAAGGAATCAGATGAAACCTGCCCCAGCATCAGAGGTCTAGTGAGTCACACTTCTGCTGAGCTGAGTTTTCAAGCCTGCACTGCTGAGTTTGTGTTCAAGCCTGGACACAAACAATCTTTGAGAAAAGGTTAAAAGGCTAACGAAGAAGGGACCAGGGGTTAATATTATAACCCTCAGTGAGGCTCACCAAAAGCTGGCTGGCTGGCTGGTTTCAACTTCTGAGGAGAGAACACGAGAAGGGATGTGCTTTGCAGCAGAGAAAATGTCAGCAGAACTTCCTGCCGTGCGCTCCTTTGTTTTGTCTACTATGTGCTTAGCCCTGTTCTGGGCACAAAAGAGGCTTGCAGGATGATGAAACATATTCAGAGGTTTCAATTCCAGACAAAGTCTGTTTCCCTGGAATGCTGTGGCTGAACAAGATGGTTGTGGCAGTCCCTCCTTCCCCATCCCATCTCCTAAATCCCATCGTTAAGAGCAAGGGATTTAGATTTAGAACCAAGTTCAATGTCTGGCTGGGTGACATTGGGCAAGCCACTGAGCCTCTGCGAGTCTCATCTGTGAAGTCAGGATAAAGGACTCCACTCTCTCAGGGTATTGGATGATTTGGGGGAACAGAGGCTGAGACACCCGTGCAGTGCCTGGCAGTGTGAACGCTGTGAGCAAGGTTGCTGCTGCTGTTTTTGTTATGACAGGTGAGGTAGGGAAAGCCACCTCCACATACAGGCCAAGATGGGCAGAGGTGACTTGAGGCCCCTGAGCCAGACACCATATTTTGGGCCAGGTTCTGAGCCAGAGTGCAGCCAAAGAACCAGATGAAAATTGCATTTCTCTTTGGGAACTTGGCTCTGGGGGCTCTGTTCTCGCTCTCCCTGGCAGTGAGGAGGTCGCCTTGGGGCTCTCTCTGTCTCAGCTTTACCCCACCCCCCTCCACGCCCCGCCCCCTCACAGGCAGCTTGGCTGGAGCTGCGTGGGTGTCCCTGGGCCCAAGGTCCCACTGCCTGCAGTGTCTCCTCATGGCTGTCTTTTGTCTCCCAGGCAAGTTCCGGGAGCAGTTTAAGGCCGCCTTCTCCTGCTGCCTGCCGGGCCTGGGTCCCTGCGGCTCTCTGAAGGCTCCCAGCCCTCAATCCTCTGCCAGCCACAAGTCCTTGTCCTTGCAGAGCCGGTGCTCCGTCTCCAAAGTCTCCGAGCACGTGGTGCTCACCAGCGTCACCACAGTGCTCCCTTGATCAAGGGCTGCCCTGGGGGCTCCGGGAGGGGTGACCTGTTCTCTGCCGGGGTTACTCCTGCAAGGGCAGGCAGCTGTGCTGTGGTAGAGACTGCTGGATGAGTAAGGCCAGACTCCAGTCCTGGTTTTCTGCCTGTGTGACTCTGGGCAGTCACTTCCCATCTCTGAGCTTGCGTCCCTGAAGCAGGACTGATGTGAGGATTACCCACGCTAAAGAAAGTGGAAAGCTCTTTGTAAATCGTAAAGTGTTGCGGACATGGTTATCGTGTATTACTCTCACTTGGCCATGCCTCACAGTATCATCCATCCACATCATCCTTCTAGAATTTGGCCTTCCTCCCAAAGACCCCTCTTCTACCCAATTACAGGCCTTCCCTGGAGTCTGCTGTAAAGGCCCCAGCGGACATTTCTATCTGGCCCAGTGGCTCCCTAAAGCCCAGGGCTGCACTTGGCCAGCTGCTCAGCTGCCTAGGAGCGAATCCAGGCCCAGCGCTTCTCCAGTGGTAGCAGGAGCCCAGCCCCACCCTCACCAGGTGCCAAAGTGCACAAACCGTAGCTGGACCCTATTGGCTTTCTGATGTGACAAAACACTCTCCATGTGGCCATTTGGCATGGAGGCCAGCAACCTGAAGCAACTGTAATTAAAAGCCTAGCACTGAATGTTCCCTTTCCTTGTCATTGCACAAAATCTGTGCTGCTTAGCTTAGGACCAGAAGAAGGTGGGAAGCTAGGGGGAGGGGAGAAGACAAGAAGGCACTGAAAAGCTATTATCTGTGACCACCTCCACCCCCCACCCCCGGATCCCAGTGGACTCATAGCCAGGCCTCAGGGCACATGTGGTGCTGTCTCCTCATGCGCTGCCTACCCTCTGATGCCCAGGGCCTTGATCCCCGACATGTCGGTCTGCTCTCTGGCCTGATGGCCTGCAGATGGTAAGTTGGGGGTGGGGAGGTGGGTAGACAGCAGGGATAACAGACAGATTTACTGTTATCTTCACCTTCTTGAAAGTCAGGGCTTGCATTTATTTTCTATGAACTCAGAGGATAAAAAGAGAAAGCCAAACAGACTTGGCCAGACACGCTCCGTCTGCCACCAGGCTGATTAGAGGGCTGCCGGAGGGCCCGATCCTTGCTGCCAGAGCAGGACAGGGTGCGCAGTCTGAAGTGCTGCTCTGCTCAGAGGAACCAAGACATGTGGCGGGAGCCAGGCTAACCACGTGCACTACCAGTTCTGCTTAAAGTGATTAATGGAGCTGCGGGCTCCCTCAGATCTCACCTGCTATGAAGCGGGGGCCAAAAACACTGTCCTGCCAGGGGGGCACCTTGTTTTCCTGGCACATGTGGGAGGTGTGGTCTGTGTACATCACCCCCCTTGAAATGACACAACAGCCCAGCTCTCCATGGGCTGCCTGCCGTTGTTGCCAGCTGGCATAGGCTGCCCTGCCCATTCCGTACTCTCTCTGGCCTCAGAACCCAAAGCCTTTGTAAAGCCTGTAGTCAGGCTTGCAGGTGCAGTGTGTGGGTGAGGTGTCGGGGCTGACTCCCAAGCTCAGAACCAACTGTACCCGCAAGGGCCAACTCACGTCCTGGGCTCCTCAGGGTGGGAAGCTATGAATGGCATCCTTCTAAAGACAAGTTTTAATAGACAATTGGCTCAATGGGAACAAAGATGCAACAGAAGCTTCTCCCAATGGCTGCAGTTCTACTGTACCCTCTGCTGGCTGAAGCCAGCACCATGGTGGGCCTCAAAAAATTCAGGAGAGGTGACCAGGATGGCAAAGGGAACTGAAATCTTGTTGAAGAGCCTGGGGCTACCCAGCCTAGGGATGGGAGAACTTGGGGGAAATGTGGTAGCAGTCTCCAGACATCTAGAGAGTTCGTGGACAGAAAGAGGTGATGTATATTCTGAGTGGCCAAGGAGAGAAAACCAGAGCCAATGGGTGGTGGTTTCAAGGTGGCAGGATTTACAGTCCACATCAGGAAAAATTTTCTACCAGTCCAGGAGGAAATGGGCTGCCTGGAAAGGCACCGAGTTCTCTGTTGGCAAACAGAGGCTGGACTCACAGGGGCATGGAGGGGATTCCAACTCTGTATGGCGGCTGGCCTCTGGGAGCTGGATTCCATCTCATTCCATCTCATACAGCAGCTCAGAGAAGAGGGCTGAGCTGGCCGAGCCCAACAAACCTGCTGGGCCTCACTGAGCTGCAAAACAGTCACAGCTACTTTGCCCAACCACCCACTGCAGGAACAGGGGCCCTGCTTAGGGCCTCAAGCTCTTATCTTCATCTCAGAAAGCCAAAGGATAATCAGACCATTCCCCATGAGAAGGCCCCCCAGGCAAACTAGAATGTCTGGTGTCTTGGCTTTTGATTGAAATTATGTCAGCTCGCTGTAGACTGGTTATTATGCTGATCTGAAGCTCCAACTAGCAAGTACATATGTCCATGCTTAATAAAAATGGGAGCAAAGGTATAACTTAATAAATGTGGTTTGTCTGGAAGATAAAACGAGGGCTTGAGTTAATAAAAAGAGCATACTGTAAAAAGTTTAGGGTGGCTGCTCATGTGCCTCTAGCCCAGAATGCCAGCCATAAAACCGCTATGATACATCCTGCTTCTGGAGCTGACCTCCAGGCTATATAGAACTGAACCTGGCAGGCCTCTGGCCAACCTGCTGCCCTACACTTCAACTTCACCCTGGCAAATGAGAGCAGACCCACTTAGACCATGGCTCCCCTGAGTGCCCTCTTTCTGCAGGGTTTTGTATACAGCATGTACCTAAATATTCATTCAATAAAAGAATAAATGAGTGACTGAATGGAAGAACGTATGAACCCATAGCTGGGAAGGCATGACGGAAAACGCAGAACTCCAGAGTGTCATTCTTTTATTGAAGCTTACAGTTTCACTAGACTTTTGGCCCCAAATGAAAAAACGGCAAATAAAAAAAAAATAAAAACATTGGCTGTGGGAGGTGGCAACTGTCCCCTGGGGACTAAAGCCAAGCAGAGCATGGCAGGCAAGTGAAAATGCAAGCTGGGAGAGCAGTAGCCTGGCCAAAGATACCCAGGGAGCACACTGTCCAAGTTCCCCAGGCAGGGACAGCCTCCAGGCAGCTAGAAGTTAACACACAGGACTTGTGGGTGTGGGCAGCGGTGGTGGTGAGGTCAAACACACTGGTGCGGTGGGCAAATCTCTCTCATGCTTGGTCAGATTCCAGTTTGGAGAAACTGGGTTCATCTGACAGGACAACATAGGTGAGGGAACACAGGTGCTAAGAGTGTGATGAGCACTTCCCACTGGTGTCAGGGCAGAGAAGCGAAAGCTAGAGGCCTGGACCCTAAACCCACTGCAATGACCGATCTCTCCTGCTCCTGGTACAAGGCTGTGTCACTTAGGTGCTCAGGGCTGTAAGGACATTCGATGTCTAGTCCTCTCCTCATGTCTCACTCCTACCTGTGTGGCCTCAGCCCAGGCCCCACTATTTGATGGCTACGACGCAGGACTCCCAAGCTTCTCTGGGAACAGTGCTGCAGCAGGTAAGGGAAAATCTTTTTCTAGGAAGGGCAGGAAAAGGAGAGAGGCCCACATGCTTCTCCCACTCTCACAAGCCAAGAAAGGTCCCCAATGCACACCACTCTATAGATGGGCGGGGTCACAGCATCCGAGAGGCTGTCATGGTGACGAAGTCTTCGAAGCTGAGCCGAATGTTGCCCTGTACAGCTGTGTCCTTCTCCCTGAAGGCCTCAGTCAGCACCTGCAGCTGGGTGCACACCTGGATGAAGCGGTCCAGCTGCATGGAGGGATTGGCGGAGCGTGGACCGTAGCGGGAGACCAGGAGCTGGGTGAACTGGGGGCTCAGGTTGTAGCCCATTTGGGACAGAGCTGGAGAGGAGGGGCACACAGAGCAGACACACAAAGATCTGCCGTAAGCACCTCCACTACCAGTTCCCCCGGAGCACAGTAGCTCAGGGCCTTCGAGGGGATCAGCACAGAAGCATAAAGAGGACACAAGTCCCAAGGGTCTGTCCAAGATGTCAGGAGCATATCAGGAGCTCTATCTGGGTGCTCTCCTAACCTGGAAGACCCCATCCTTCCTTCTCCAAATCTCCATTATTTCCTGTTCACTCAGGGGCTTGTGGGGTCCCAGGGGTGACACTGATCTCTCCATGCTCACCTCTGACTCATCTGCATTAGAGAGGAAGCCTGTGCCCCTGGCCGCCACGCCTGGGACAGACATCAGAGGCAATGCAGCAGAGTTATGAGGGCCTGCTCTGGAGTCTGTCCCGGGGCAAATCATGTAACCTCGCTATCCCTCTGTCTGATCATCTCTAAAACAGGGATAATACTTACGCTGAAGGGTCTAGTAAAGATTAAATGAGGTGATCACGTAAAGCACTTGGCACAGTGCCTGACACACAATAATCACTCAGTGTGAATTGTTAAATAAAATCATCATCATCTCCCCAGGTGGGGCTGTGGGCAGTTCCGAGGTCACAGCCCAGGCCCGCTTCCCCATCCCTGTACCTGGGATGCTTCCTCTCTGCCTAACTTACCAGCCCAGGTTACCTCTCAGCTCCCCATTTGCTTCGCAGGCCCTTGGCAAGTTACCTACACTAAGCCTCAGTTCTCATCTGTAAAAGGATGATAATAAGGAGTCCTTCATCAAAGGGTGTAGAATAATAAACAGTACTTAGCAGATGAGAAGAATGAATTATATAAACACATGAAAAATGCTTATTACAGAGCCTGGCATACAGCAAGCATTCAATAAACATTAGTTTTGGTCATTGTTATATCACCCTTACCAATATCCATGAAAGGACCTGGCAAGAGTAGGTGATCAGAAAAGATCACCTCCTCTCCCTTCTGCCAGGGGGCAGATATGGTGAGCTCACCTCCCACGCACAGGCCCCCTTAGTCTGACTGAAATCCACAGATAGGGCTAGGTGCAGGGTCCTCTGGGAAGCCCATTCTCCCTCCTAGGTGGCCAAGGCTCCCTGTCAGGTCCTCACAACTCCATCTCCTCACTGGACTGGCCTCAGCCCAGGCTGCAGAATCTAGCCCTACAGACTACAGAATCTAAACCAGAGCTGTGACCTCTGCTCATCTTATTAACTGCAACTTCTTAAAGTGGTCTGTGTCTCGGAGTTGCAAAAGAACCTGCCTTGTAGTAGAGCTGGCACCAGAACCCCATCTTTCTGGGCCCCTATGCAGGGTTCTTTCCATTCTACATGCTAGAAACCAGAGAGGAAAGTGCCACACAAGCCACACACGCTGGTCTCAAAGTGCTCTGGGGTGCCAAGTTACTAACCCTAAGGCTCCCTGCTGGCTGGGACTGTCTCACCTAGCACTTCTGGGAGTCCCATCACCAGGGAGTCCAGCCCTGATTCTGAACTCAAGTGTTTCCTTGCCCGGATCTTGGCTCAATGCCCCAGCCAGGTCACAGAAGTGGCTGGGGATGGGCTTGTGCTGAGGGCAGCATTTTATAGTGCAGCTTGCATATTTGGGAGTAGAGGCTAGAGAAAACCCCCTTGCTTTGTCTTAGGGAGAGTAAAATCTAGCTCTGCCCTGCCCACCATGCCCCTGCCACAGCCCTCACCTTGCTGCAGCTCCGTGTAGCTGATGGAGCCCGAGTGGTCCCGGTCATACTGCTGGAAGAGGTTTTTCCACTGCTGGATGAATTTCCATAGTGCAGAGAAACCATAGACATCGATGCGGCCTGACTTGGTCTTGTCAAACATATCTGAGGGAAAGGTGGGAGAGGAGGGGAAGATGGCTTCGAAACTGAGGGCCGAGGTCCTCAGGCACCACTAAGGCAGCCCTTCTCCCCACATCAAAGCAGGAGACACCCATGGAAGCACAGGCCTTGGGCCCAGATCCCTCTCACCCAAGACCCTCTCACCAAGTGTTGCACCACTCTCCACCTCAGCCACCCTCCAGCCCGACTCCACCCAGAGTTGCATCCAGAATTTTCTCTGCAGGCTTGTTAGGTAAGCACCAAGACCCTGATCCATGCTGGTGCCCTTCCTGCCAACTCCTACCGGAACAGGGAATCTCATATTGCAGAACGGGAAACTGAGTCTGTGTCACAGCAGGCTCTATAGAACTTGAGAACATCTAAGGGATAGAGCTCTCAGCCTAGGGAGTCTCACCTTGAGCACAGCTTCTTCCCTGAAACCGTCCCTAGCCAAAGGCAACTCTTCTGTCAAGAGTAGCTGCCCACCCACCTACTGTCAGGTCTTAGGGGGCTCTGCCCAGTTCAAGCCATGGGAAGGGCTGGGACTCACTTATCATCATGAGGCATGTCTCATCATTGAACGAGGACCAGTTGGAGTTGACCAGAGCCTGCTTCAGCTCCTTGATGGAGATGTAACCACTGTGATCCGAGTCCACTGACTGGAACCAGGAGTAGGCCTCAGGATCCACACTGGGTGGGGCGCCACCTGGAGGAAGGGGCACAAACAGGGGAGCCAGACTTAGGTCTGAGGGCTAATCGAGGCATCTCAGAAGTGCTGGGAAGAGTAGGCCTCGGTGCCTCCTTGGCTACAGGTTTCCCTGCCCACAAAGTTTCACAAATCCACCTACCCCTGCTTCCCATCAAGCCCACATCCTCACCCAGATGGAAGAGAGCCTTCAGGGTAGACTCTTAAGTGTTTGCAGTTGATTTCTTCAGGTGTTTCCTACACTGCTCCAGTCACTTCTCTATTTGATTTTAGGTTTCTAAGGAACAGGAGGAGTCCCTGGATGGCACAAACAGTTAAGCACTTGACTACTAGCCAAAAGGTTGGAGGTTCGAATCTACCCAGAGGTGCCTTGGAAGATAAAGCCTGGTGATTTGCTTCTGAAAGGAAATAGCCTTGAAAACCCTAATAAGCACAGTTCTACTCTGCACACATGGGTTTGCCATGAGTTGGTACCCACTTGACGGCAACTAACAACAACAACACTTGTCCCCCTCCAGCAGCATAAGAATTCCCCAAAAAGGAGAATTTTTTTATCTTCTCCACAGACTGAGGACCCAAAAACTTTTTCTGAGCACCTAACATGCACAGCCCAGAGACAAGTATTTTAAGAGTCACAGCAGTGGGGAACTCTCTGGGGGCGGGAACCTTGTCTGATCCATCCGATTTCTCTGTGCGTAACACAGGGCCTGGCACAGTGGACATTTGACATCTTCTGTGAGGAGCTGCCAGAGTGTGAGGGGCTCCCAAGCTCCACCTTTCTTCCTTCCCCATCATCTCTGATGCACGCCCCCATCTCCAAACCTCCCTGGAGACATCTTTGACACCCTCCTCATCCCAAACATCCAAACAGCTGCCCGATTCTATCAGTTCCACGCACAGGTATCTCTTCCTCCCTATTCCCACCACCCCTGTCCTGGTGCAGACACCTCCCATCTGGACCACTATAACAAATAGAAATCCTCACCAAATCGTCCTTGCAGCTACCCTCTGCCATCCTTCACTTGCTACAAGGGTAAACTTTGTAAAAATCTCTGTTCTCATCAATTGCCCCACCTCTCAACTTAAAACTCTTCAGAGGCTCCCTGCTGCCTATAAAACAGTCTTACATCCTCAGGATTGCATTCGAGAGCCCTCACATGGGGTCCACCCTTGCCTACCTCTCCAGCTCCACCACCCACTCTATTCCCACTAACTAGTCCCCTCAGAACTCTGTCCCAGCCCCAATAGGCATACAGTTGCTTTTACCCATACACACTCTGCACAATCCCACTCCGAGCCTTTGTTCATCTGCTCCCTCGGCCTTATATCCACTTCTGCCTCAACTCTTGGGCTCCATTTCCCGTTCATCCTTCAAGGCCCAAATAAAATGCTGTCGCCTCCATGAAGTCTTCCCCATTCTCTCTGCAGACATGTCTCTTCCCTCTCTCTTTTGAAGCCCACGACCCCCCACCCCCCAGTCTCTCTTATGGCCCTGATCACTGTCCACTGTGTACGTTTTCCAGCCCCTCCCAGGCTAGACGTGGAACAAGTTGTGGGTGGGATCCCCGCCTAACTCATCTCCAGATTCTCAGGACCTAGCACAGAGCTGGGCACAGGAAGGGAAGATGTTCAATCTGTGTGCACTGAGTGTCTGAGCACTGACTCTGGAGTCAGCTTCACGGTTCAAATCCCCCATTTTGTGATCTTGGTTAAGTTACTTAAATTCTCTGTGCCTCAGTGTTCTTATCTGTAAAATGAGGGCAACAGCAGCATCTACTTCGTAAGGTTATTGTAAAGATTAAATGAGTTAATACATGAAAACCCTTAAATCAGCACTCGGCATAACCTAAGCACTATACAACTGTTTATTATTGTTTAGTCATGCTTAAAGTAGCTTTGTATGTACGAAGATGGCAGAAAGGTGTGTTCATTTGGAAAGACGGGCAGGGGTGGGCTGGGGGTAAGGGGAGAAAGTGGTAGATGAAAATGGAAGAACAGAGAAGTCTATCTAGGAAAAAGCCAGAGTTACATGGTACTGGTAAACCTACTGAGTTTACCTATGGGTAACGCTAATGGCCACAAACGGGCCACCCTCCCATAAGGAAGTATGAGAGATGGCTGTGAGCAGTTGTGGCGCACAGAAACACTGGCCATCCCAAATGGTGAGGCCAGAGGAGAAGGATTTGCTTGACCGAGGGGCTAGTCTGACCGCCTTGGAAGGGGAAGTCCAGGCGGGCTGTACCCACCGTCCTAGAACAGCAGCTGTGTCCTGGGGGAGCAAGCACCCACAGCTCTGTGCAGGAGAGTCTCTGTAACATGTGTGGTCTGGTGGTTTGTGTAGAGGTGAACAGCTCAGGATTTGGAATCAAAGCAGAGCTGGATTCAAATCCTGGCTCTGGTCTGTACTAGCTTGTGTGACCTTAAGCAAATTGTTCAATTTTCTGAGTACTGATTTCCCTGTTCCTAAAATGAGCCCACTTTCCTGGGCTGTTGGGATGATTAAATGAGACAACAGCAAAACAAAGTTCTTAGCAAAGAGCTGGTCAGTCAGACACATTTCCACAGAGAAAGGGACATTTCAATTGGGTCTGAAAGGATGATAGGGAATCTAGATGGAGAGAAGGAAAGTGTGTGGCAAAGGCAGAGAGTGTGTTCAGAGTACTCTAAGGCATCTTAGGTTGATGGAGGGGAAAGAAGGATGGCAGGTGAAGAGGCTGGAAATGCCGTTTGGGCTTGAGTGCCTTAGGACCTTCCCTGTGGGCAGTGGGGCGCCTTCAATAGCTTTTAAGTGGGAAGGGGTATAGTCAAGCCTGTCTGCCAGAGCAGTGGTTCTCAAACTTTATATCCTGGATTCAGCAGGTCTGAGTGGTGGCCTCATAGGTAGCTCTGACACAGGTGATACATAAATCACGCTTGAAGAAGGACAGCTCCGGAGTGCCACCAGCTACACTGGAGAGGAGGCAGCGGCAGCCAGGCGGAAGGAAGCACATCACTTCTGGCCTCAGGCCCCTCACAGTCAGGGCTCCTGTTCTCTGCAATGACCTCATGTGGGCTCAGAGACAAGATTTTAAAAAGATGAAGAAATCCACCATGAAGCTGCTGAGCTGAAAGTAAACAGCCTGAAGGTCTGGGCTCTGACAAGATAATGCCACTGGCGCTCAGAACTCCCAAGGTTGAAGCATCTCCCTCAGGAACACCTGCCTGGGGATAGATGCTAAGGCACTAGCTTCCCAGCAGTGCCAGCCCCTGGAGGCTCTGTAGGTGCACAACAGTGGTCCCAAGTTCCCTTGCTGGTGGCTTGGCTTTCTGGGAACAGTCATTCTGTGAAGGGACTGGCTGAAATGAGTTTGAGGGGAAGCAAGGGGCTGGGCACCCGCCTTCTCTGCCCCTCCGTCTGAGACTACTCCAAAATCTTCACTGAGGCTGAAGCCCCCACCCAGGATTCTCTGCTTCTACTGGATCTCCAGCCCCTGTCCCTCCCCTCTCCCATCTAGAACCTCACCTTTAGTATCTCTGCTCTTTATCTTCCCCCATCCCACCTCCTTTCTCCCACCTGCCTCAGCATCTTTAGTAGTAAGGCCCTTGCCACATCTTCTATAACATTAAATGCCAAATACCTATTGGTAAACCTTCTTTGGTGAGAATGCCCCAGAATGGCACTCTCACAGAACATTTTAAACATACAGTTAATAAAAGCTACTGTTTATTAAGTCTTTAGCATGTGTCAGACACTGTGCCCAGTGGTTACCTGCACCTTCTCATTTAATCCTTGTAACAACCTTGAGGTAGTGGCATTGACCCCATTTTACAGTGTGAACACTAAGGCTTGAAGAGGCTTAAAGAAGTGAAGTAATTTGGTCAAGTCAGTAAGTGGCCTTATCTCAAAGGCCCACTAGAGATATCAACAGCTAGACTGTCTCATCCTCCTATATACAGTGCCAGTCTCCCTCACACAGGAATGAGGTTTCTCCCTATGGTGGACTGTACTATTGCCTCCAAGTATTTGCTAACCCCCACTTCCCTGTAAGAGCATTGTACATCCTCTCCTGCTGGTGACATGCAGAGCCCCTCCTCGAGGTGAGTATACACTCCTACCCTATGGATGTCAGGCTTGACCAGGGGAAGTTCTTTGGCCAACAGAATGTAAGTGGACAAGACAGACAGTACTTTAGAGCAGAAGCTTTAAGAGGCATCGTGTATCTTGCTAGCCTTCCTGCTCCTTTCTGCTGCCACAAGAACAGCACGTCTCAAACAGGAGCTGTTCCTTCAGTCTGGGTCCCAGAACCAAAAGACACGTGGAGCAGAACTTCAGTAGTCAATCCACAGCTACTGATGTGTAAACAAGAATACATAAGCGTGAGTGAGAAACAAATGTTTGTTGTTGTAAGTCAAAGGGATTTGGGGTTGCTGATACCACAGCAAAGCTAACTAACAGAGATCTTGTTCTGCTGATTGCAAGCTAAGGTTGGATACCAGAGGCTACAATGCCAGAGACCACGCTGCCTGCACACCCACAGGAAGGGCAAGTGAAGGCCCTGGGTAATTCAGAACCAGGTCAGAGGAACCCAGAGTCTAAGATCCCTACTTACCTGGAGGAGGTCCCTGCCCATAAGGCCCAGGCTGCTGGGCACTGTAGGAGTTTGGAGGTGGCTGACCATAAGGGCTCCCCGGGGCTGCACCACCATAAGGTCCTCCTGGAGTTCCAGAGGTCAGTCCCCCAGGTCCATAGGGTCCTCCACCAGCTGGTGGTCCATAAGGCCCCCCAGGTGCAGGACCCCCATAACCGCCACCAGGGGGTACCCCGCTTCCATACTGCCCTCCACCGTGGGGGGGCCTAGGGTAGTAGCTACCCGGAGGGGCTCCGGGTGCTTGTCCTGCAGCTCCTGGGCAGCCCTGTGGGAAGAGCAAGATTTCAGTCAGAGTGAGGAGGCCAGACACTAACCACATCATGGCACTCTACACCCGTTCTTTTCACTCATCCTGTAGGCAGGGCAATAATACCATCGCTCAGATGGGGAACTTAAGGCTTCTAGAGGAGATATGACTTACCAAGGTCACACTGCCAATAACTTGTAGAGTCAGGGCTGGAATCCTACCCTCCTGATTCCCTTTTTCCAGACCCTAAGGGGCTCCACGAGGGCTAGGATCATGCCTGGTTTGCCAGTTTATCCCCAGCCCACCAGCTGTCAGTGCAAAATGGATGCTCAGTACATACTTATTATTGTATGAGTGAGCAGGCAAATTGATTGAATAGACTTACAAAGGCCTCACCCTGTGGTACCCCAGCTTTAGCTGCTGCAGAACCCACAGCACAAATGTGGTCTCCACCACACAGCCCCTGATCCTCATCAGTATAATCGATGTATCCACAGCATGGACTCACCCAGAGAATGTCTTTTTCCCTACTCTCCCTCGTGGAGCTAAAACACTTCCCCATCCTCACTCACAGCTCTGTGAGGGAGGCAGGGAGAGCCTACCCCTAGGGCAATACAGTACAGTGGTTAAGAAACCAAATGACCCAGTTCAAGTTCAAGTTCTGCCACTTAGTAACTGGACTAATGACTCACCCCCTCTAAGCCTCAGTACCTTCTGCTTGAAGACGGCAATAAAAATAAATATTCCTACCTCCCAGGTTGGTAAGTGAGTGAAGTGAAACCAGTCATGTGAAGCACTTTAACACAGGCCCGGGCAGAGTAAGCACTCAATACACATTACCTATTAATAATAGCCCCTGCTACGGAGGAGCAAACTCAGGCCCAGAAAAGTCACACAGACACTGCATAGGGGGGCTGGCATTTGTGCATCAGAGCATACATGGGGCATTGCCTCTCTGGCTCTCTCCCTGCCAGGCATCCCTGAGGCTCAAAGAGTTCAGCTCCATCTGCCTAAATGCCGGGACAGGGCCTGGCAGAGCACAGCCCCACACATCTGCAGACAAGCTGGGCTCAGAGACAGAGAGCAACCGGGTCTGGCTCTGAGGGCAGTACCATGTAGACATGTTCTGGATCAACCTGTAAGACATACCAGTGGCCTAGCCACTGAGACCCTGGTCTTTCTCTTTTTATTGTGTTTGATAGCTTCTGAAACTGTTAACCCCGAGGCTAAGGCCAAATTCACACTTCATTGAAAGGCGGGTCCAAGGAAGGGAGGCTTCTTGGTGGGGGGGAAGGCAGCAGGGCTTCCACTTCCCATTCAGCATCATGGGAGCTCTTCCTCCCTAGAAGTTGCCATCATTAGTAGCAAGACTCCTTCGCAGACAATAAAGTCACAGACAGATCTTGGTGCAAAACCTGCTTTCAGCAGCTGAATGCATACCTTGGCCTACTGGCTTCATCTCTCTGTTTCCTCACAAGTAAAATATAATAAAATATAATCCCTTTATCATTGGATTGTTCTTCGGATTACAAGACATACATGCAGCAGACTTTTGCTAGTTTAATTTTTAGACAAAGAATTCTTCTGATAAAATAAATAAAACTGATAAAGTTGCTCTGCCAAAGCAAGGGCATCAGGGTAGAATCCAGAGCACTGACTGTGTGGGGCCCCTTCCCTTGCTAGATTCTAAGGGGCTCTGCAAAACCCTCATAGTGACTCAAAAGACAATCTGAAAATCACTGATAAGAAAAGTAGTCCTTACAACAATGTCTGGCATAAAGCAAACAATCAATAAAGCACAGCTGCTATTGTTAGTATTGCTCTAATAATTATCAGGAAAGCCCTGGGTCAGGTAAACTCTACAAGGGTGAGAGAAACATGACCCCAGCCCTGAAGGAGCTCACAGTTAATAGGAGAGGCCTGGAAACACTCTCTAACATCAACGAACAGCATAAGGCAATTGGCATTTAAAATGGACATAAGCCACAGGCTGTGGGGCTACAAAGGAAAGAAAGTGAAATCAGGGAGGGTTTCTGAAAGAAAGTGGCATTTGAGCTGGAACTTGAAGAATGAGCAAGATTCCCAGGGGTTTGGAGGAGGTGTGACAGGAGAGGTACCCAGGAGGCCAGTCACCTAACCTCCTCATTTTACAGATGGGGAAGCTAAGGCCCAGACAAGGGAGCCCAAGTCACACTGCGAGTTAGAGGCAGAGATGGGGTAAGACCCCACGCCCACTCCAACCCCCATGTAATGGCTCCCACTTCCTCCTGCTACAGTGGTCCTTCCTTAAGGGACAGAGCACAGATTCCAGTGGAAGAGGGAAAGGTGGGTGAGGACTCCGCAGAGCACAAGCTGGACACCAAGCCAAGAAGTAGCTGCTTCACTCTAAGTCCTGTGAGCAAGGCTAGAAACTGTACCTGGCCAACAGGCACCCGGGGCACCGCCCTCCCATCTGAGTAACACTCCCAGGTCACCAAAGCAGGTACAGCCAGGCAGGTGTCTGACCTTCCTGCTACTACATTCCAGGGACCTGCTGGATCTGGTGCAGTCTGGCAGCAACTAAACCCTTTCCCTTCTGGCTTGAATCAGGTATACAGTTTACAAAGCACTTTTCACATACACAAGTACCACTTGCCGCATCCTGCCAACAATCCCCTGACAGAGAAGAGGAAGATGTTAGTAGGTCCATTTTTCAGATGAAGGAACCGAGGTGCACGGCTGTTAAATGACTCCATTCAGCAAGCATTTATACAGTGAGAACGTTGTGCTAGGCTCTGTGCTAAGCAAAACTAAATGGGGCCCTGCCCTTGAGGAGTCTACAGATAATTATGATACAACCTGATTAGTACCATCAGAAAAATCTACTCATATTCTATGAAGAAACATGGACTGAGGGATTTTTTTCTGTTTGTTGAATGAATGAATGAGCAATCAAATGAACAAATCATGAAGTGGGTCAAGGAAGGCTTCCTGGAGGAGGTAGCAGTGATACTGGAGCTGGACCTTGAGGCATAGTCATTCCCCAAAATGCAGGCGAGCAGAGGCATCCCAGACAGAGGGAGAAGAAAGCAAAGGCACAGACCAGTGAGTGGGCAGGGAATGCGCTAAAGGGCAGAGGCAAGAAGGTGCAGTGTGGACCCTGAACGACAGGCCCTCTCCACACTCCGCAGCCAAGTACCTCTCCTGCTGCATGTCAGTTAGCTGGTGAGTTATCAGTGTCTTGGTGTAGTGTCTGTCTCTCCATCTCCCCCACCTGACAGTGAGCCCCCCAAATGAAGACACTGGGCCTCATTCATCACAGTACCCCACGGCCAGCACAGTGCCTGGTACCTGCAAGCCTCCATCAATATTTGAACAAATGAACATCACTCTAAAGAGTTTGGGCTTCATGCTGGAGGAAAGAGAGCACCATAGAAGCCAGAGACGTGTTTCCAATAGGGGAGGAACCTAATCAGAACCTTGTTTAGAGAATCAACCAGCACGTGGTGGTGAGAGGCATGAGCTAGCAGGGGAGGTGAGAGCCCAGATGCTGGACAGGCAAGGCTTGAATCAGACAGCAGACATGGAGATAGGGAGAATGGGGCGGATTCTGAAGCTGTTTCAGAGGTAGACTAGACATGACTTGGCAACTTATTAGATTGGGGAAGAGGTGGAGGAGGGAGTGAGGAAAAAGAAGAGTACACAATGACTCAGGTTTCTAGCTTGCACAAGAAGATAAAGGAGAACGAGCCACCAACTAAGCAGAATCCAGGCTGGGGAGGAAGTTTGGGGCCGCCAAGTTGTTAATAAAGGTCTGAACCAGAAATGAAAACCAGAATCCCTGACTCCACATTCCTCTCTCCTGCTCCATGCTGCCAGTCCTTTGGAGAGTTTTCCCAAAAGTATTTCATACTGATAAACACAAGACCGAGGGGAGGGGAGGGCAAGAAGAGTTCACTGTTTTCAAAGCACCACAGAAAAACTATCTCTAGGTCTTTAGCAAGGAGCCCTGGCGGCATAATGGTTAAGCGCTCAGTTGCTAACTGAAAGGTTGGTAGTCTGAACCTACCAAGCAGCACCACACGAGGAAGACCTGGCAATTGCCCCCATAAAGATTACAACCTAGAAAACCCTATGAGGCAGTTCTACTGTCACATGACACCTAACAACAACAACAGGTCTTTAACTGATTAAAAATAAGCTATATTCAATATATTGGTGGGGGGTGGAGTGGGGAAGGAGCCATTAATATATATTGAGATTCTGCTAGGTGCTTCCAGTTCAATTGGCTCTTTTTGGTCCTCCGTCCTGTGAGGTAAGTGCTATTATCCCCATTTTACAGATGAGGAAACTGAGCTTCAGAGAGATTAACAATATGCTAGTGCAATTGGCATAACAATTTACAAAGAAAATGTTCTCCATCCCACTTTGGTAAGTAGCATCTGGGGTCTTAAAAGCTTGTGAGCAGCCATCTAAGATACTCCACTGGTCTCACCCAGTCTGGAACAAGGGAGAACGAGGAAAACCAGACACAAGGGAAAGATTAGCCCAAAGGACTAATGGACCACAAGTACCACAGCCTCCACCAGACTAGTCCAGCACAACTAGATGGTGCCTGGTTACCACTACCAATTGCTCTGATAGGGATCACAATAGAGGATCCCGGGCAGAGCTGGAGAAAAATGCAGAATATAATTCTAACTCACAAAAAAAGACCAGACTTACTGGTCTGACAGAGACTGGAGAAACCCCAAGAGTATGGACTTTGGACACCCTTTTAACTCAGTAATGAAGTCACCTCTGAGGTTCACGCTTCAGCCAAAGATTAAACAGGTCCATAAAACAAAACGAGACTAAAGTAGCACACCAGCCCAAGGGCAAGGACAAGAAGGCAGGAGGGGACAGGAAAGCTGGTAATAGGGAACCCAAGCTCAAGAAGGGGAGAGTGTTGACATGTCGTGGAGTTGGCAACCAATGTCACAAAACAATAAGTGTATTAATAGTTTAGTAATAAACTAGTTTGCTCTGTAAACCTTCAT